AGGGCTGAAAGCCGCCACGGGGTGCCACGCTCACCGCCTGGGGACGAGTTCAGCGGAAGTCCGCCCTCAGCGTCGCGCGCCAGGGCCCCGGAGTCCCCGGCTCGCAGAAAAGGAGGCGCGGCCGTCTGTCCCGTGCCGGGAAGCCTGCTCCGCGTTGGCGCGGCGCGCTTGGGAAAGCCGAGGCGTGTGGCCGCCCCCTCCCAAGACGGAGCCCGGCTCTGCCTGGGCTGTGGAGACCCTGGAGGAGGGCGGGGCCCCAGCCCTTTGCTCCGCTCTCCGCCTTGAATACCTTCGACACATTGCAGGGAACGGCCTTCGTTTCCAGCCCAATGCTGTTCTGTACCAGGGCACGACCTGCGTGGACTGTGGTCTTCTTTGCCTGTCCCCCCTCCGAGTGCTAAAGCCGCTTCCCTGCGCGGTGACTCGCCCGCCTGGCGTGGGCCGTTCGGTGGCTCTCGGCAGCCGCACAGGTAAACGTCTGTCGCCACGGTTAGTTTGAGGACATTTTGTTAGCCCAGAGGACACCCGCGCCCTTCGCTGTCACTCCCCCGCCCCCAGCCCTCTTCCTCTGCGTCAGAAACTTCCCTTCCAGGGGCTTTTTCTGTCCCTCTGGTGAGTTCTCTGGTGTCCCCAGCCCCCCCCCACTTTAGGATCTATTATTTTTATTATTATTTTAGTTGGAGTCCCATTCTGTCACCCAGGCTGGAGTGCAGTGACACGCTCACAGCCACCCCAGCATCGACCTGCTGGGTTCCAGCCATCCTTCCGCCTCAGCCTTCCAAGTAGCCAGAACTATAGGCGTGCACTACCACGCCCGGCTAATTTTCTTATGTTATTGTGGAGACATGGTCTTACCATGTTTTCCAAGCCGGTCTCGAACTCACAAGCTCAGGCAGTCCCCTCGCCTCAGCCTTCCAAAGTGCTGGAATGACAGGCTCGAGCCACCACACCCAGCCTCCTTCAGCATCTCACTAAGCCAGTTCAGGGAGCAGGACTGGACACATGCACACAGCCCCCAGTTGCTGCTTCCAGTGTCCTGGCCAGAGGGTACAACAGCATCAGGACTGTTTAGGTCAGGAGGCAGAAATGCTGGGGCAAAGGACACAGACTCTGAAATATGGAACAAAGCAGCCAACCACTGTTCCCCATGCTGGCACAGCACCCCACAGTCTGCAAGGTGCTTTCCAGGCTTTGCCCCCTGTGATGACGTATGGGACACTGCTCTGGGCCCTGTGACACGGAGGGACACCCCGGCGCAGCCTCTGAGGTGAAGGGGCACTTGTGGCTCCCCAAGCCAACCCGACACCCCTGTTCTCCAGGACCCCGACGCACACAGGGTGCACCAGCTCTGCGTGCAGCAGGCCCGTGGCCTTTCAGTCCCGAAGGTACCTTCTCCTCTCCTGCCTAGTGTAACAGCGAGACTGGCTCCTTGAGGGAGGCCAGCCCGTCCGCCTGACTTTGAGCAGATCACTGATCGCGTGGGAGACTGAGTTTGAAGAACTGTAAGAGACACCACTCATTTGTTACTATGTCAGGTCAGCTACGAAAGAGTGACCGGTAAGCGGAGGTGTTTGGTTTTGGCCAATTTGGCAGTTTTTGGTAACTACAATGGTGGGTCCTCTCTGATCTGGAGGAGCTGATGGAGGGGAGGGGCTGAGGCAGGGGAGGGGCTGTTATAGGGAGGAGCTGACAGAGGGGAGAGAATCACAACCCTCTCTGGCTCACCGTCCTCAGCGCCCTTCACACAGGAGAGGTTATGCTGGTGGAAGAGAAGGGACTGGCGAGGGGACACCCTGTCTCGGCTTCTGGGGGCCCCGACGTGGGAGCACCTCGAGGGGAAGCCCTGACAGGGACACTCGGAACTGGCGGGCCTGGGAGGCAGCCTTCTGGAGTGGATGGGAGGGGAGGCCCCGGGGAAGCCAGTGAGGGGTGGTGGGCAGGAATCTGGTGAGTCTGGTGTGAGAAGTGCTGGGAGATAGTGTTTGAAAATTAGCAACTGTATGTGGAGAAGCAATTGATAAAGCAGAGGCAGCCACCAATAAAATGAAATGCCTTGGCATCTTCCTAACCAGAAAAGTGAGAGACCTTTACAATTAAAACTACAAAACACTGCTCAAAGAAATCAAAGATGACACAAACAAATGGAAAAATATTCTATACTCGTGGATGGGAAGAATCAACACTGTTAAGATGTCCATCCTACCCAAGGCAATCTGCAGATTCAACGTAATACCCATTAAATTACTAGCATCATTCTTCTCAGACCTGGAAATGACAACACAGAAATTCATATGGAAACATAAACGACCATAAATAGCCAAAGCAATTATCAGCAAAAGAAACAAAGCACTTCCACTTCCAGACTTTAAGCTTCACATAAGGCTGCAATAATCCAAACAGCCTGGTTATTGATACAAGAATAGGCACATGGACCAATGGAACAGGATGGAGACTCTGAAAGCCAAGCCTCAATTTCTCAGCCAACTCATCTTTGACAAAGCCTCCACCACCTACCACTGGGGAGAGGAAAACCTATTCAGTAAATGGTGCTGGGAAAACTGGCTGATCACATGCAGAAGATTGAAACAGGACCCCTACCTATCACCATACACAAAAATCAACTCTAAATGGATAAGAGACCTAAGCATAAAACCTCAAACTATAAGCACCTTAGAAAATGCAGGAAACATCCTTTGGAAATTGGAACTGGCAACCAATTCCTGATCAAAACCCCAAGTGCCCATGCCATGAGAGACAAAATAGACAAGTGGGACCTCATCAAACTGACAAGCTTCTGCAAAGCAAAAGAAACCATCAAGAGAGCAGAGAGACAGCCCACAGAATGGAAAATATTTGCCAACTGTTTATCTGACAAAGGCCTAACATCTACATGGAACTCGAACATGCTGGAAGGAAAAAAAACAGCCCCATTAAAGAGTGGGCAAAGGACTGGGCTCAGTGGCTCAGCCTGTCAACCAGCACTTTGGGAGGCCGAGGCAAGTGGTTTGCCTGAGCCCTCAGGTTCGAGACCAGCCCGGGCAACTTGGTGAGACCTTGTCTCTACTATAAATCAAAAATTAACCGGGCATGGTAGCCCATACCTGTAGTTCCGGCTACTTGGAAGGCTGAGGCGGATGGATCACCAGAGCCCAGCAGGTTGACACTGGGGTGGCCGTGAACTTGCCACTGCACTCTAGCCTGGGTGACAGTGAGACTCCAACTCAAAAAAAAAAAAAAAGTGGGCAAAAGACATGAATAGACTTCTCAAAAGAAAATACATGGGCAGCCAACAGACACATGAAAAAGTGCTCAACCTCAGTAATCATCGGAGAACTGCAAGTCAAAACCACACTGAGATACCGCCTAACCCCAGTAAGAATGGCCATCATTAATAAAACAAACAACAGATGTTGGCGAGGTTACAGAGAAAAAGAAATGCTTCTACACAGCTGGTGGGAATGCAAACTAGTGCAACCTCTTTGGAAAACAGTATGGCAATTTCTGAAAGAACAAGAAATTGACCTTCCATATGACCCTGCAATCCCCCTATTGGGAATATACCCAGAGGAACTCAAATCATTCTACAAAAAAGATAGCTGCACATGCATGTTTGTTGCAGCACTATTCACAATAGCAAAAACATGGAACCAAATGTGCTGCCCATTGAAAATGGACTTGATTTTTAAAATGTGGTACATATACACAATGGAATATCACACAGCCATAAAGAAGGACAAATATACGGACTTTGCAGCAACTTGGATAGATTTAGAGTCTATTATACTCTGTGATCTGTCACAGAAACAAGAACAGAGTGCCACATGTTCTCACTCATAAGCGGACCCTGAACATTTACCATCATACTATAAGAGAGGCACTGGCAGTCACGGGATACTGCTGGGACGGGGTGGGAGGGGGGAACAACATGAACAAGGGCACCTGATCTCAAACCAGGCAAAGTGGGGACCAAAGGGAGGCCCCAACTTTACCTGTGTCCACTTGTATACCTAATCCTGAATTGTACCCCACATCTTTAAAATAAAAAATATATATTTAAAGCAATAAATAAAATTTAAAAAAGAAACAGCAAAAAGAAGAGGCAGTTACCCGTTTCAAGGGAAAATGATGTTGACATGAATAGACTCTTGATAGGAGAGGTAGGACAGGTGTGGGGCTCAGGCCTTAATCCCAGCACTTAGGGAGGCCGAGGCGGGAGGATCACTTGAGCCCAGGTATTGGAGACCAGCCTGGACAACTTAGCAAGACCTCATCTCTACAAAAATTAAAAATGAAAAATCTAACCGGATGGGGTGGCACGAGCCTGTAGTCCCAGCTTCCCAGCAGGCCGAGGAGGGAGGTTCGCTTGAGCCCGGCAGGTTGGGGTTGCAGTGAGCCATCATGGTGCCACTGCACTCTGGCCTGGGCAACAGAGTAAGACCTCCACTCAAAAAAAAAAAAATAGGGGACTTATTTTGAAATAACGTAAGTACTGTTGAACACGAGTATTTTGTGAGCACATTTCTGGGGACTTTGAGTTGCCAGATTCCTAAATGGAGCACATTCACACTGTGAAAAACGCTCAGAACTGCACTATTCTGGCCTCTGCCGTTCTCAGCGGCCTTCCTGGATGCTTGACTGGGCAGCGCCAGGTGGTCTGTGAGAGCTTGTCTCTGGCTCTGCAGGGTGGGGTGGGCTGGGGAGTCGGACATACCAGCAGGCCTGGCATCCCGGCTGGCTCCGGAGCATGGCTGGTCTTTTCTCGAGACCCTTCCCTTGGCGGTCCCAGTGGCAGGAGGGTATATGCTTGCTTCTCCGGGGCATTGGCCACAAGGGGCCTGGCTCGGTGGTGGGACACCCACGGCGGCCCCAGGAGGGAGCCAGTGGAACCCGAGACCTGCCTCTCGGGTGGGTTTCCCGGGTGGTGCTTCCCGTGGGGTTGCGGTGGCAGTGCTTGTCCCGTCTTGTGTCCCATCGGGTCTCCTCTTTGTTCCCAGTGCGAGCTGAGGACGGAGGCGCGTCGGAAAAACCTTCTCATCCTGATTCTGCATTACCTAACCCAAGAAGGGTACGTGGCCTGTGGGAGGGCTCCTCCTCCGCCCTCTGCTGCCCCAGCGCCTGCCATGGAAACCAGGGATCGCCTCCATTGTTAGAGCCGTTTTCTGCGTACAGAAACACTGAGCAGAAGGATGGTGGTTTCCCATGAGTCCCTCCACCGGTTTCTCCTGTGATTAACATCTGGCTGGGGTGTGGTGTGTGGGTTACAATTAATGAGCCAATAGCGATACGGGATTTTTTTTTTTTGTTGGTCAAGGTTGCTTAGGGGGTCATGGCCACCACAGCTTTGACCTCCTGGGCTCGGGTGATCCCTCTGCCTCAGCCTCCTGAGTAGCTGGGACTACAGGCATGCACCACCACGCCCAGCTACTTTTTAAATTTTTTGCAGAGACGAGGTCTTGCTATGCTGCCCGGGCTGGCCTCGGATTCCTAGGCTCAAGTTATCCTCCTGTCTCGGCCTCCCAAAGTGCTAGGATCACAGGGCTGTGCCACCGTGCCCACCTACCTCCTTGAGAACACAAGCACTACGGCAAGGGCTCTGCTGGGTGGGGGAGGGGCAGTGCTGACCCCAGTGTTTTGCAGACCCTCTCTCCACCGTGGGGTCGCTTTTGTCTTCCCATTTCAGCCAGAATGAAAACATTCGGGTTTCAGGCTAACAGCTTGAAAGCTGTTTTTTTCTTCCTTTTCTGAACCAGGGTCTCACTCTGTCACCCAGGCTGGAGTGCGGTGGCACGGTCATGGGTCTTCACAGCTTCAGTCTTCTGGGCTTGGGCAATCCGGCCACCTCAGCACCTGAGTAGCTGGGACTAAGGCATGTGCCACCATGCCCAGCCAATTTTTAAATTTTTTGTGGAGATGGGGATGGTCTCACTATGCTGCCCAGGCAGATCTCGAACTCCCAGCCTCAAGCAATCCTCCTGCCTCGGGCCCCCAAAGCACTGGGATTACCAGCATGAGCCACTGTGCCTGGCTGGGGTCCCTATTTTATACTTGCAGAAACTGAGGCTCAGAGGAGTCAAGGACTGTGGTCAGATCACCGACTCTACATGGGAGGACTTCCCAGGCCTGTTTTGATTCAAAGCCTTCCAATGTCCTTATCCCTTGGCTCCAGTGTTGAAGGTTTGCTTTTGCTTAAGAATTAGGCCAGGCATAGCAGCTCAATCCTATAATCCCAGTACTTTGAGAGACCGAGGCGAGAGGATTGCCTGAGCCTATGGGTTTGAGACCCGCCTGGGCAACTTGGCGAGACCTCACCTCTACAATTAAAAACATAAATTAGCCAGGTGTGGTAGGTAGTACACACCTGTAGTTCCGGCTACTTGGAAGGCTGAGGTGGAAGAATCGCCTGAGCCCAGTGGGTCGATGCTGGGGTGGCCCTGAGTGTGCCACTGCACTCCAGCCTAGGCGACGGAGTGAGATGCCAACTCAAAAAAAAAAAAGAGAATCATGCCAGAAAAATCAAAACATGGCCAGGCACTGTGGTTCATGCCTATAGTCCCAGCACTTTGGGGGGCCCAGGCAAGAGAACTACCTGAGCCCAGGTGTTCGAGATCAGCCTGGGCAACTTGTCAAGACCTCATCGCTACAATAAAAACAAATTTAAAAAATTAGCCAGGTGTGGTGTCGTGCACCTGTAGTCGCAGCTACTTGGAAGACTGAGGCGGAAGGATCATCTGAACCCAGGAGGTCGAGGCTGCGGTGGCTATGAGCATGCCACTGCACTCTAGCCAGGGGGACAGAGTAAGACTGTTTCAAAAAAAGAAAAAAAAAGAAAAGAAAAATCAAAACATGTGCAGGCCATGGTTTCTGAGGGTTTTTTTTTTTTGAATAGTGATCTTTTAAAGTCTTTTAAAGAAAACAAAACCACTGCTGTGGTATTTAAGCATTTTTAAACTATGTAAGTCACTGAAGAATCATGGGGTTTTCTGGCCAAAGTTTTCAATGAATGCACTTGGCACCGGCAGTGACATCGTGGGTCCACACGGGCTTCGTGGCTGAGCCATCTGATCCAGGTTCTCCTGGTGACTGATTGTGTGAGCGCATTAGCTGCAGGGCGTGGCCATTCTCCCCATAACCTTCCTATCAACATCCTGAGAATGACTTTTCCTCACTGGACAGCAACATCCTTAACATGAAAGCAGTTCTCACTGGCCTATCTGGAAGCACATGGTTTCACTGGACACTGGGCGCCGGGCTTCCAGCTTTTGGAGACAGAATGCACATCCCCATGTGACCAGCAGTTGAGCCCGGAGCCACACACTAAGGAGGGTCCAGCCGGCAGCATGGGCCTGGGTCCCCGCTGTGCCTTTCCCTCCCCTTCTGGCAAGTCGGCAACCTGTGCATGGGCAGTGGGTTGCCATGACAGTTCAGTCACCTGAAGAAAGGAGTCCGTGGCAGCGCATGGGGAAGTGCCACGTGTCCATCACCTATGCAGCATGTTCTACGGCACTCCAGCCTGGACAATGCAGTGAGACCCCGACTCCAAATATATATATACATATATATATATGGCACGTTTAGCATGGCACCCAGCAACATGGCATACACCAGCACTTGCTGTTTTCACTGCAAGAAGACAAGATCTGGATTTTATTCTTTTAATGCCCAGCCTGGTTCAGCCAAGGACTGGAAGCATCTGGGTTGTGGGTGTGGCCATTTAGTTCCATCTTTTGATGGAATCTCAGCCCTCCCTGAAGAACCCTGAATCAAAATACCTCAAGAAGCCAGGGCAATGTGGTGAGACCCCTGTCTCTACAAACATCCAAAAACTAGCCAGACATGGTGGCACGTACCTGTAGTCCCAGCTCCAGGGGAGGCTGAGGCAGGAGGATCGTCTGAGCCCAGGAGTTTGAGGCTGTGTTGAGCCATGATCGTGCTACTGCACTCCAGCCTGGGTGGCAGAGGGAGACCCCGACTCAAAAAAAACACAAAAACAAAAACCTCAAGAGAGTGTTTTCCAAGTGTGCATATCACCCCAGCAGAAGTTTCGTAGAGTATTAGGAGCTGTGACATTAAGCTTTTTGTGGCCAGATTAGCTCGACAAACATCGGGTTGAATGAAGGGAAGCGACCCTTTTTCGGGACTCCTCAGGCCACTGACTTCCTGCATGCCGGGACGTCTGTGCCAAAGTTCACAGCACCTGGGGCACTGCAGCCCGGTTCCGCCAAGGAAGCCTCTTTTCTCCGACCATCTTCAGAGGTGCGTTTTCCACGGACACTCTGAGCTGCGGCCTTCGCAGGGTCCTGGCTCTCCCCAAAACCGGTCCCAGGCCTGGGGCAGTGTCAGCGGATGCTCACTTGAGTAGCCACTGAGGAACACACCAGAGTGCAGACAGGGGCAACAGAATCACGAGAGCGTGGGCACAGGCAGTCCCTGGTTTTACTGCAGTGTGTCTGGCATTCTAGAAACTGTATCCGGAAGGAGGCTGTGGCCACGGAACCACCAACCACCGTGGAGTCAGGCCAAGTTCAGCGATCCCTGCACAGACTGCACTTCTGCTTTCTGTCCCCAGGGGGCTCTGCACTGCCGGCCAGGGGCCCTCCGGGGCCTCAATGGTTTTCCCAGACCTGCTGGGAAGGGCACGCGTGTGGAACTACCAAGGGGGTGGATGGTAGGTCCTGGGAGTCTCTCTCTGTTGTCCAGGCTGGAGGGCAGTGGCGCGATCACAGCTCACCACAGCCTTGACCTGCTGGGCTCAAGCACTCCTCCTGTCTCAGCCTCCCAAGTAGCCGGGACTTCAGGTGTGCACCACTACACCCAGCTACTTTTTTTGGTTTATTGTAGAGATGAGGTCTCGCCATGCTGCCCAGGCTGGATGTAGGTCTTTAAAGCAGAGGTCCCCAATCCCTGGGCCATGGACTGGACTGGTACTGTTCCATGGCCTGTTAGGAACCAGGCCACACGACAGGAGGTGAGCGGTGGGCAAGCGGGCTCCGTCTCCTGTCAGGCCAGCAGCAGGATTAAGGTATCGGAAGAGCGTGAACCCTGTGGTGACCAGAGCGTGCGAGGGATCCAGGCTGCGTGCTCCTTATGAGACTGACAGACGTCCATGGAACCAGTCCCTGGTGGCAGCAAAGTTGGGCTGCCACTTTAAAGGACACGTCAGTGCAGGGAAAGAGACCTGCCTTCAAGGAAGTGCTACAGATTCAGAGGATGGAGTCGTGTGGACCGGAATAAACCACCAGGGACGGCTTCATGAACGGGGGACCGAGCTGGACTTGAAAGATACATAGAGCGCGGGAGACAGGGCGGCAGATGGGGACGCGCTGGGCAGAGGCACAGGAAGAAGGGTGGGCGTGAGTGAACACAAAGCCTGGAGGGGGCTGGGTGCGCACAGCGGGTGGCGGCCACCCGGGAAGGGTCCTGGCTGCCGGCTCTGTCCCACGCGTCGTCTTCTCCAGCCTGAGGGATGTCAACGGCGTCCTCGACTCCTCCTGGGTCAGCTTGTGGCACCCACCACCGTCCACTGCAGCACGCCACAGCCCACTCTGCACAGCACTGCTGCAGCAGGACACTACCACCGCCAGCGACCACTTATCGACACCGAACCGCCTGCTACTGCCCAGGACACTCCCTCTTGCCGGTGACCACTCATCAACACAACACTGCCCACTACAACAGAATTCTGCCCACCACTGCCGGCCGACTGCCCCTGAAGTCCTGTCCCGTCTCTGGCGGGGTAAGAACCCCACAGCCAGCTCAGAGCTCATTCCAGCTCAGTGTGACAGGAACACACAGAAGCAGTGCTGTCCCCTGACCAATGGGTTCCGGAAACCTGAACCTGCAGCCACCTATTCTTGTAACTTTTCAGTCAAAACTCTACGACCTTGGAAAGAATTCAGCGTGTCATGTGGGGTCAGGAAAGGTCAGGGGAAATCTGCCCTGCACACGCCCCGTTCCTTCCTCCCTCCCTCCCTGCCTCTTTTTCACAGAGTCTCACTCTGTTGCGCCCGGCCCTACGCTGATTTTAAAGGAGCTGCAGACCGTGGCCAGGTGGTGATACTCAACTTATGTGCACACATGTATGTATTTAGTCATTTAAAAACTTATGGGAGAGAGAAATTGTTAGTCATCTCTGAGTGGTAGAATTGTCTTTTGATGTATTGCTATTTTCAAGTTTTGTCTTAAACATGCGAGACAAAATCTTTTATTTATTTATTTTATTATGAGTTAGTCTCACTCTGTCACACAGGCTGCAGTGCAGTGGCCAACTGCTCACAGCCACTGCAGCCTCGACCTGCTGGGCTCAGGCGATCCTTCCGCCTCAGCCTCCCGAGTTGCTGGAACGACAGGCTCGTGCCCCCACACCCGGCTAATTTTTTGATCGTAGAGGTCTCGCCGTGTTGCCCAGGCTGGTCTCGAACCCCTGGGCCCAGGCAATCTTCTTGTCTCGGCCTCCCAAAGTGTTGGGATTACAGGCTGAGCCACCGTGCCTGGTTGACAAAAACTTACTAGCAGAAAATCAATTGAGCTTTTTTTTCTGTGAGCCAGGTCCCAGGATCCCCCCACAGGTGCACCTTCAAGTGCAAGTGCAAGCGTTCCACGGGAACCTGCACGTTCACGTACTGCTTTTCTCCGCCAGGTGGCGGCATGGCTTGTCAAAAACGCCCGTGCAGTGCAGCCGCTGGCGGAAGTGGGGCCCCGGTTGGACTGACAACAAACGGGACTGACAAACGCGCTCTCCGGTGGTCAGTGCGCGTCCACGTGTCAGGGGCTTGCTTTACAGAAGCCTGACGAGACGTCAGCAGCACAGACGCTGACTGACTATCGTCACCTGGCCGTGGTCTGCAGCCCCTTTAAAATCAGCTTGGGGCCGGGCACAGCGGCTCACCCTGTCATCCCAGCACTCTGGAGGCCGAGGCGAGAGGATTGCCTGAGACCAGACAACGTGGCGAGACCTTGTCTCTCCAATGAATCCATAAGTCAACTGGGCGTGGTGGCACACACCTGTCGTCCCAGCTACTCAGGAGGCTGAGGCGGAAGGATGGCCTGAGCCCAGGAGGTCAAGGCTGCAGCATCTGTGATCCTGCCACTGCACTCCAGCCTCAGCAACAGAGTGAGACTCCTACTCCAAAAACAAAAAAAAAAAAAAGGAGGGAAATACCTTTCAAGGTCGTTAGAAATAATCATGGCCACTCTTTTTTTTTGTAGTCTCCACTCTGTCGCCCAGGCTGGAGTGCAGTGGCACACTCAGCCACCCCAGCATCGACCTGCTGGGCTCTGGTGATCCTTCTGCCCCAACCTTCCGAGTAGCCGGGACTATAGGAGCGCGCTACCATACCCAGCTAATTTTTTAAAAATTTGTTGAAGAGACGAGGTCCCGCCAAATTGCCCAGGCTGGTCTCGAACCTGTGGGCTCAAGCAATCCACTCGCCTCGGCCTCCCAAAGTGCTGGGATGACAGGCTGAGCCACTAAACATGGCCATGGCCACTCTTTTAAGGCAGCTCAATCTTCCAACGGACCTGAATCTGGTGCAGGGCCGAGGGAAGAATAAAAAGTAATGTCCCATCTTTCTCCCCTCCTGGATTCAAACCAAAGTGAAGAACCTTGAACCTGCAGCACAAATTCTTCACCCGACGTCCTCAGCTGAGCCCTTGACACTGGATGTGAATTTGCAATTTGCACACTTTCCATGGGGCAGTGTTGGTTTTAAAAAACTGCCAACCGAAATAACAAACAAAACGAATAACAACTAAAAATGAAGACCTGTGGAGCTGTTCTGCTTTCAGGACCTTGAGACAAAGCCCGGCTTCTGGTACTAAGCCCACTGACATGGGCCAGCGCCACGGTGGGACAGGTTGGAGGTGGCAGTGAGGAGGCCGCGCTGAGGACGTCCAATGTGTGACCCACTGAGCACTTGCTGAGACAAGCATCACGCACAAGTGGAAGCTGCCGTCTCATCCCGCGCTTGCGTGAGGCTCTCAGCTGGCTTGTTCACGTGAGCGACCACAGGGACGGCGAGCCTCGCTTCCAGGGTTGGATTCAGCCTTCATCAGTGGCCGAATGTTACCTAAACTGAAAACTGGAGAGGTCAGGGTCACCAATTTGGGCAAATACCCATCTCGGGCTCAAAATGGGTCCAGGTGAATCACAAGACATTTTCTCTCTTTTTTGTTTTTTAAGTCGGAATCTCACTCTGCCACCCAGGCTGGGGTGCAGGGGCACGTTCACAACCTCGCAGCTTCCACCTGCTGGGCTCAGGCAATCCTTCCATCTCAGCCTTCCAGATAGCTGGAACTGCAGGTGTGCGCCTCCACACCCAGCTAATTTTTTGGTTTATTGTAGAGACTAGGTGTTACCCAGTTGCCTAGGGGGGTCTCGAACCCCTGAACTCAGGCAGTCCTCTCGCCTCTGCCTCCCAAAGTGCTAGGATGACAGGCGTGAGCTGCTGTGCCCGGCACACAAGACATTTTCTTAGATGATTTATTTCTTTGACCTTTAAGCACTTCCAAAACGTTTGGGCAGTGACATCACCAGGATAAGCACGCAGCACTGAGGCAACGGCTCTAATGAGTGTCTGGACACACGTGATGTTTGTGGGGCCTCTGCTCTGTAGGTGAACCTTGGATATATGCGCAAGCTTCCCCAGTGCCCTGTCTGATGGAGCCCACCCTCTGTGGCTGTGATGCCTGTTGCCCCCTGATTCTTTGTACCTGGAGTTAATCTTTGTTTTCTTCTGTGAAACCGGCAGATACATCGATACAGCCAATGCTTTGGAGCAAGAAACCCAGCTGGGGCTACGGCGCTTTGAAGTTTGCGACAACATCGACCTTGAAACCATTTTGATGGAATATGAGAGCTATTATTTTGTAAAATTTCAGAAGTACCCCAAAATTGTCAAGAAGGCATCAGACACAGGTATGTGGCTGTTTTCTAGAATAAGCTTGGTCTCCTCCTTAAGATCTGCACCTCTTCCTTGTATGGAGACCTTCACCCTGCACCAAAAGAGTGGACCAGGACCTTGTAGCCGCTCCAACCCCGGAGGACTGCTGACACGTGCTGACTGGACACCATGTCTCTCTGATCATGTTGGCATGTGCTGGGGGCTGTCTTCAGAGCAAAACCCCAAGGATCGCAGGGACATTCTAGGAGATGAGCTCGACTTTGCTGTAGGGACAGAAAGAGCCGTGGGGAGAGGGCGCACGACAGAGACTTCTGCTTGTGAGGGAGACCCACTGTCTACCTTGAAAACAACAAGAGAATGGGCACCGGGGAGCCGAGAGCTCATGCATAGATAATGAAGTGCTTCTAAAAGCTCTCAGTCCCGATCGATAGAATGCAAGGACCGGTCCAGCCCCAAGTCGGCGAGGCTGGCTGGAGGAGGCCTGATGCGAGGCTGCGCTTCCTGGCAGTGTCGACCCAGAGCCCACAAGTAGGGAAGTGATTACAGACCGGGGAGGCCACCGTCCTGTTGACAGGCCTCGCTCAGCCACAGACCCCAACGTTTCACAGAGGGACCCAGGGGCCAAGAGTGGCATCCACTAAACACAGCCTGGCCTGGACGGCCTCAGTGGGGTCTCATCTGTGCTCCCTCCCAGGAAGGGCTCAGAGCGTGGCTTCTGTGGTGGCTTGTTGGCCCTGGGTCTGGGAGAGTGTGGGCGCCTGGCCATCGTACCATCGCACTGCCTGGGATGTGGTCTCACTCCTGGGTGGCTGGTCTCACCTACTTGATGCCACATTCTCCCGTGATATCGGATGTGGTATCTTTATTTAGTTTTTATTTTATTTTTATTTTTTGAGTTGGTTTCTCACTCTGTCATCCAGGTTGGAGTGCAATGGCAAAATCATGGCTCACCACGGCCTCGACCTCCCGGGCTCAGGCAATCCTCCTGCCTCAGCCTCCTGAGTAGCTGGGACTACGGGTGTGCACCACCATGCATGGCTAACTTTTTGTTTTTTTTGTATAGATGAGGTCTCACCAGGCTGCATGGTATCTTTACTTTAAAGTAACCATGCAGAGTGTGACCAGGTGTTCCCTGCTGGGCTCACGCATTCCTGGTGTCCCATGCAAAAGGATGTCAAGTTCACAGAAACATAATGAAATGGCAGCTGCAAAGCTGGTCCACCCCAGCCTCACCCCCAGGGTCGAGGCTTCCCACCCAGTTGACAGCCGACGCCTCTGGGTCCTTTTCTGTGGGGTCTGTCAGGGGCTGACTCCTCTCCAGGTGAGGCCAGCGCAGAGCCTTGATCCCAATAGGCCACAGCGCAGATGCCGAGAGTGCTGTGAAAGGAGTTCACCCTGCCTCCGCGCCACTCCCTCACACGCTAAAGTCTCTTTCCTTCAATCTTTGTTCTGTCACAGCAGAAAATAATCGGCTACAGAGAAGTGGAGGGAAGGCCAGAAGGTGAGTGATGGAATTCGACCTGGTCAACCAGCCCTGGTGTTCACGGGCTCCCTTTCCAGAAGCTTCTCTGGGCGCTCCATCACTGTCTCCCAACAACACTGATGGCAGTCACGTGACCACACAGGCCCCAGGCGGGCCCCTTGGTCACAGCATCTGGGACTGGGGCCAATGTCCATCCGCTCTCCTGGCCTTCCCATGTGTTGAGGACACTGTCTTTCCAGGCCACGTGATGGGACATGTGTGGACCCAGAGGTTAGAGGACTCTGGTCCTGCCTCAGCTCTGTTGCCGGCAGGCCCGCGGCTTCTGACAGCCCGAGAGATTCAGGCCTACAGGCAGGGATGGGAAAGGCCCAGGTGTAGGGGGCTGCTGCTGGACCTTGGCATCCATGGGATTTTGCTGGTGTAGGAAGGCCTGGGCCTCAGGGGAAGGGGAAAGGGGGCTTCCCACAGGGGCCACACACCCAGTCAGGAATTGAGCCACATTTAAAAAAAGTTGAAATGCTATTAGAAAACAAAAAACTTGGGCCAGGTGTGGTGGCTCACACCTGTAATCCCAGCACTTTGGGAGGCCAAAGCAGGAGGATCACTTGAGCCCAGGGGTTCAAGACCAGCCTAGGCAACATAGTGAGACCCTATCTCTACAAAAAAATTTGAAGATTAACCAAGCATGTTGGCGCATGCCCATAGTCCCAGCTACTTGTGAGACTGAGTCAGGAGGGTCAACTGAGCCCAGGAGGTCGAGGCTACAGTGAGCTGTGATCATACTACTGCATTCCAGCCTGGGCGACAGAGTGATACCTGACTCAAAAAAAGAAAACTCGGCTGATGTCACAGCAACTGACAAGGCTCTCAGGAGGTGAATCCTCTAGGCCCACTCGTTCCCTTGTCTCCAGCCTCAGAAGGAAGGGACAGGGACCCACCCAGGGCTGCAGAGGCCGCCGAGCCCTGCATGCCTCACGGTGTCTTGCTGATACCCGCCTCAGCCACCTCGGCTTCGTGTTGCTTCCTTTTCTTTCTTTTCTTCTCAGAGACAGTGTCTTGCTCTGTCGTCCATGCTGGAGTGCAGTGGCACGATCATAGATCAGCCTCAAACTCTAGGGCTCGAGCCATCCTCCCGCCTCAGCCTCCCAAGTAGCTGGGTCTGCAGGCATGCTCCACCACACCCAGCTACTTTTTGTATTTTTTGTAGAGAAGTGGTCTCACTAAGTCACCCAGGCTGGTCTCGAACTCCTGGACTCAAGCGATGCTCATGCCTTGGCCTCCCAAAGTGCTGGGATGACAGGCTTGAGCCCCGTGCCTGGCCCCTCGTGTTCCTTGCTTGCGCGGGAGGCCTCCTTCTTTCCTGAGGCCTTTCCCTGGCTCAACGGAGGGGACTTGCCCTTAGGGCTTGAAGGCCCTGGCAGGAGGGTGGAAGCCATATGGGCGAGGAAGACCAGAGAGGGTGAGGTGGCCCCCAGGAGGGGCGGGGTGGGCCGGGAGGGGCCTCCAGGAGGGGCGGGTTTCTGGCCTGCCCTTGGAAGACCCCAGAATGGCCTGTGGAGGCTGGGCAGGGCTGTGGGGGGCTGGTGCAGAGAGAGGGCCGTGGCGGGCACCTGCAGTTTCCCAGCACTTTCTCAAGCATGCTGGCTCGTTTGCTGGCCTCAAGGTAAGTGGTTGGACAATCTCTCCCGAGGTCTGTGTTCTCCCCTCAGGGTGGCCGGCAGCGGCTGTCACAACCTTCCCAAGCTCCACCTGCAGAGGCCACGTTCCAGGACCACGGCGGGGAAGGCAGGCCACGCCACATCCCCCACCAAGGAGCCCCCTCGACAGGTCAGAGGACTTGGCTTGCTGCACCGGGTGACACCCAGAGAGACAGCCATGTGTGCTTGTTTCTCAAGGACCTGTGCTTCCCAAGGGCCGTGTGGCTGGACTGAAGTGTGTTTTCCTTCCAGGGCGCTGGGTCAAAACCACAGACAAGCCCCCCAGCTCTTGGTACTCTCTAAGCAGAGTGGGAGGACCCCTCCCTCCGCTCTCCCAGGCCTGGGTGCTAGACACGGCCAGGCAGGGATGAGGCCACCCATGGGGTTATCTCCCTTTAGGGACCTGCTGCCTGGCCTGGGCACTCCAGGACCTCCCTGCTCCCCCCGCCGACTTGTCACCTCTTTCCCCAGGACTTGGCCGACAACCCTCGCCCCGAGGGGGCTGACTTTGGTTTGAACATATCAAGAATCGGCAAAGACAGCAGAGAGGAAAGCACTCGCCCACGGCGGGTAGGTGGTGCTCAGGAGCCTGAACCAGAGAGCGAGATTCTTTTTTTCTTCTTTTTGGCATGAAATTGTAAAAAAAAGACATGATTTCTGCCAAACAGGAAAGTTAACATGTGACAACTGAGGGTTGGCCATGAGGTAAGCTGGGAGGAGCCTTGGATGAGGATTCTGAACAGGGTTCTGGCCAGATTCAGAACAGGGTTCTGGCCAGGTGTGGTGGTTCATGCCTGGGATCCCAGCCCTTTGGGAGACCGAGGCAGAAGGATTGCCTGAGCCTAGGGGCTCGAGACCAGCCTGGGCAACTCGGTGAGACCCCGTCTATATCTCAACAAATAAAAAATTGACAAATAAAAAAATTAGCCAGGCATAGTGGTGCGTGCCTTTCTTCACAGCTACGCAGGAGGCTGAGGTGGGAGGACTGCCTGAGCCCAGGAGGTTGAGGCTGCGGTGGCTGTGAATGTGCCACTGCATTCCAGCCTGGTGGACGGAGTGAGACCCAGACTCAGAAAGAAAAAAAGCAAAAAACGGGCTCTGGTCTGGAGTCTCTTTCTTGAAGAATGTTCTGGAATGAGCCGCCCATCTCTGAGGGACTCTGTGGCCTCCTCTGCAAACTGTGGGGCTGGAGGAGCCTGCTTCCAGCATTCCTTCCCGCGAAGACGTCCCATGACGTCTGCATCCGGGCGCTGTCGTGCCCTGCCAGCCAGCTGTCAGTGGCATCCCTGTCCTCCACTGGCGTGGAATTTGGGGCAGATCATGAGGCCTCAGCCCGCACAGGGCTGATCTTGTCCTGGAGGAATGCGTCTTCCTTTTAAATAATGAATCTCACGTCCAGGGGTTTGTTTATTCCTTCTTTTTTAGTTGGGGTCGTCCTCTGTCGCCCAGGCTGGAGTGCAGTGGCACGATCACAGCTCATCGCCGCCTTGACCTCCTGGGCTCAAACGATCCTCCTGCCTCAGTCTCCTGAGTAACTGGGACTACAGGCATGCACCACCATGCCAGGCTAATTATTGTATTTTTTGTAGAGATGAAGTCTCGCTGTGCTTCCCAGGCTGGTTTCAAGCTCCTGGGCTCATGTGATCCTCTCGCGTTGGCCTCCCAAAGTGCTGGGATTACAAGCGTGAGCCACCACACCCCGCCTGTGTTTTGGCACACATCCTTGCTTTTCCTCCCACCTCTAGGGGAGACAGGGAGGCCTCGGAAGGAGCATGGCTTGGGAGATGGTTATCTGGGTTTGAATGCTGGCCTTAAATCCCTTGTTAGCTGTGTGGCCCTGGGTTCAGCCCTCAGCTTCTCTGGACTTTCCTGCACATCTGTGAAGCTAGGATGTCACGCCCGACTAGCAGTGGTGTGTTGTGTTACCGAAACGCCGGGGCTCCAGCAAGGTCCCGGGGCTCGCAGCGCTGGAAGACGAGGGCCAAGACGCGTGTTGCCTGGGAAGGCTTTTAATTGGTGATGTTGGCCAAGGAGAACCACAGACCAGCTCACAGCTGTCTCCTGGGCGACTGAAACTGGGGGCTTATAAAGCGGGAGGGGCAGCACCCGCTGCGGGGGTAGGGGCGCTGTGTTGAGCGGCTCTCTCGGATGCCACGTCCTGGTGAGTGTGGGAGCTCGTCTGAGGGTCGGTCTCCTGAGGCAGAACTCGGACGAGGCACGTATGAGTTTTAAGTTTTGAGACCAGGAGCGTCAATTTCTGTGTTTATTCAAAACTCTACGAGTATCGGCTTTCTGGGCAAGTGGGCTGGGGTCATAAGAATTAGAAATAAGCCTCCGGAAGGACTTGTCCACGCATCCTGTCCCAGGCTCTCTACGGACTGGGCGACTGCAACCAGTGGGAGGGCCAGGGTCAGGCTTGTGCCCGGACTTCATCCCGCGGGCATGGTGTCTGAAAAGGACAAGACCAAACTGGGGAAACCGTCCCGCAGGGAGACAGCCGCACGTGTTGGGCCTGGGAAGTGCCCGTGCGGCTCTGTGGGTGCCCCCTCATTCTGGAACGTGCTTGCTGTTGTCCCAGAGTGCCCCGCTCGAGGGAGTCCTCTTGGTCACCACCGGGCAGGTTTGCCCTGTATCCCAGGGTCCGGAAACGTGGGCTGGGCCGTGAGGCCAGGCTGCTGAGCAGAGCCTGGGCATGCATCCTCGTGGTGTGAGTGACACTCCTCCCTCCCAGGGTCGAGTCGTGGACTTCCGGGAGCTGCTCACAGACGCCATCAAGGGAGCCACCGGTGACCTTGCCTTGAACACGCTTGACCGTGACCCTGACCCCTCCGTAAGTGGCTAAGGCGTGATGGTCCTCTTCTGGGTGACCTTGAGACCAAGTCCCAGCTCTCATCCCACCACCGTCCATCACCCCGAGACCCACGCCCGTGTCCCGCCCTTGGTGCCGGAGCAGTGCTGTGACACGTGCCTGTCTGTCTACCCTCAGGAGCAGTTGCTGAAGCCTCTGAGTGCATTCACGGGCATGAACAGCGAGATGAGGGAGCTGGCGGCTGTGGTGAGCCGGGTACGGGCCATGCTCAGCTCACAGACCCATGGGGCGGGGCGGGCCGGGCTTGGGCGCTGCGGGCTGCTTTTATTAATAATAATAAATATGATCATTTATTTATAAAGTGCCCCCCTTGCGAAGGCACGCATATTGTTTAGAGGCGCAGTAATGCATGATAAATAAATTATAGAATCGTAAAAGTACGACATGAAAAGCCCACCATCTCGCAGCGGAGGCCAAGAAAAGCAAGAGAAAAAAACCAGGAGTGCGGGGACGGGTGAAAGGTTTCGTGGCTGAGCCAAGAGTGGTGAGGGCTAACCTCTTGGAGGAGGAAGGAGCGTCGACATCCTGCATAAAAGGGACAGGACGGCCAGGCACGGTGCTCACGCCTGTCATCCCAGCACTTTGGGAGGCCGAGGCGGGAGGATCACTTGAGCCCAGGTGTTCAAGACTAGCCTGGGCAACATAGCAAGACCTCGTCTCTACAAAACAAAAAGTAAAAAAATTAGGTGGGTGTGGTGGCATGCACTTGTAGTTCCAGATACTCAGGAGGCTAAGGCAGGAGGATCACCCAAGCCCAGGAGGTCAAGGTCGCAGTGAGCGTGAGCATGTGCCACTGGCCTCTAGCCTGGGTGACAGAGTGAGACCTCGACTCAAAAAATATATGTATAAGTAAAAGTCCAAGCCTGCAAATAGAAATGTCAGGGGCTGATGACCCCATTACTGAAAACGTCTGAAAAACAAGATCAGTAGGAAAGGTTCTCCCGTCCAGACCTTGACACTTCTGGCGTGCCCTGGAATCGGATGACAGTGAGCTTGGCAGTGAGCGGCACGGGCCTTGCAATCGGCCGGCCTGTGCTCGAGTTCTAGGAACTCCCCCTCCTGGCAGCATGACCCTGGGCACGTTCCTGGGGAATAGAACAGGCTCCTGAGCTCTAGGGCACTTTCCCAGCCTCCAGGGACTCCTCAACTGGAGACCAGACTGAGGCAGGCTCAGAGCAGCGTGGAAATGGCCCAAGGCCATGCCGCTCCTCCAAGGGGCTCTGGTCTTTCGGTCTCTGCGGCCTGGCGGGTGTTTCCCGCACACCCATCGCAGGTCAGGCGCGTGCTGGGGCTGGAGGTCCATGGAGACACATTGGACGTGTACGGGCCTGCAGAGTCTTGTCCCACAGGCAGCGTGTGCTTGGGGAGCATGGCGGGGCGGCATGTTCCCCCGACAGCTGGGGGCAGTGCTGGGAGGAGACCACAGGGAACAGCTGCGGGAAGACAGCAGGGAGGTGCCCTGGGAAGGCACACTGGAGACCCTGTGAGGCTGGAACGGGCGCTGGCCAGCCATGTGGGGGCGGAGAGCGGGGCAGCGGCTGGAGGAGCGAGGGCTCCTGGGGAAGGGCAGACAGCAGAATCCAGGGTCAGCCCCGGCCTGCAGGGGCACGGCCTTCAAAGCGCATCCCAGGGCAGCGGTGCCTCAGGTGCACGGGGACAGCTTATTCCCGTGACGGGGAGGTGGGCGGACAGCAAAGAAGCAGCGGGGAGCCTGGCTGTGAGGTTTACAGGGGAGGGGCCAGGTGCTGAGCTGGGCTGAGTCGCAGGTGCCTGAGAAAGCAAAGCGTTCTTCATGGCCACAAGTCGGTCCTCCCGTGTCTGCGTGCAAGAGGGCAACGTGACCCACCAGGCAAGAGCTATGGGGGGATGTCGCCTGGTGTGGCTCCAGCTAGGACCCTTTCTGTGTGCCCCTGGGGTGGGTGTCCTGCCCCTTGCTGGAACGCTTGCAGCGATGGAGAGCTTGCCAGCCAGGAGGCAGGCAGTTCCGTTGAGCTCTGACGGGTGACTTTGGAGTGACATAAGGAGGAACTCCATTGGGAAAGTAAACCCTACCTTGTGGAACTCTAAGAAATGTTGCCACGCTCTCTGGATACCTCAAATGCCAGGAGAGGTGAACCTTCTTCGCGTGCCAAGATTTCCCCAAGAAGGGCCCTGATGATGAAGTCGGTAGCTGGTGACCTGCACATGGGTCCTGGCTCTAAAGACTGCCTGGGAGTTGGGCATGAGGCTCACGCCTGTAATCTCAGCACTTTGGGAAGCAGAGGTGGAAGGACTGCTTGAGGCAAGGCGTTGGAGACCAACCAGGGCAACGTGGCGAGACCTCATCTCTATAAAAACACTAGCCAGGCATGGTGGTACACAGGCAGTCCTAGCTCCTAGCTCCCAGGGAGGCCGAGGTGGAAGGATCACCTGAGCCCAGGAGGCTGAGGCCGCAGTGAACCGTGAGCAAATCGCAGCACTCCAGCCTGGGCGACAGAGTGAGACGCCAACTCAAAAAAAGAAAAGTAAAAGACAGTGTGGGAAGACCAAGTCCCTTCTCTGTCATCCCCTCAAGAGCGGGTCACACATTTAAGCCCAGGTGTAAGGAGTTTCTCTACCAAAAGGAACTGAGCGGGAAGCAGGGGCAGGCCCAGGCGTCTCGTAAGCATTTGGAAGATGCATCGATATTACAGAACCACAGGCAGGTCTTGCTTCTTAAACCATTAAATACATAGGAAGATGGTCCCCAGGTTTGTCCAATGGTCTCTCGGAGGTCTCAGAAAGAGCCTTTTTTTCTTTTACTGTAACACTAGATACCTCAGCCTGCCTTGGCCAGCTCCTACCCGAGCAGGCCCGAGCGCCCGTTAGAGGCCTCCTGTGAAACCGAAGTGCGGAGACTGTGAATCAGTCCTCAGGAAAGGCCGCCTCAACTGCCGGCCTGAGACGCGGCTCGAGGCCTCTGCTCCAGTCGGCCGGCTTCCCCAGGTTGTGCCGAAGCGATTCCGCCTGCCAGAAGCGGGTTGCTCACTGGGGAAAGCGAGAAATTGGTTTCAGAGGAGCATTATCTCTTTCATGCCACAAACTAAGAGCGAGTGCGAGATCAAGGAACAGGAGGGAGGCGGGCTGGCTGGGAACTGTGCCCGCCATGAAGGCAACTGCAGTTTGAAGGCACATCCCGCGGCTTCTTTAATCAGGGCCACACATCAGTGTGGCTTGCAATGGACCCGGGACAGGTCCAGTCCATTGTTAGAAGGTTTTGTTTTCCCATTCCCCCCTTGAAAAGTGCTGTCAGTATCTTCTTCAGGGAAAGCCACTGAGCGTTTTCTTAGCATGCCCTGGGTGAGTGAACCTGGCACAGCAAGGTGTTCACAGACACGCGCCTCTTACAGGAGCCGTTGCGCCCCGGACCCCCCTGCTGTGACCCAGCGTTCTGCTGCTCCTCTGTCTGTGGGAGGAGGGTGGAAAACAGCGGCCTGAACAGCACGATCACATGTGCCTTGCAGGACATTTACCTCCACACTCCGAACGTGAAGTGGGACGACATTGTGGGACTCGACGCAGCCAAGCAGTTGGTGAAGGAAGCCATTGTGTACCCCACACGGGTAAGGACGGGCGCCTTGGGGGTCGTGTCTGCTCATTATTCGCTGGGCAAGCCATGCGCCAGGCACCCACTGGGAAAGGAAGGGTATCGACGGGGTAACATTTGGGTTGCAATACTTGCCAACGCGGGCGCACTGCGACCTGGCCCACCCTGGCCAGCTTAAAATTATGGCACAGTTGGTTCAAGACAGGTGTCCGGTCCGGTGAAACGTTAAGGTCCAGGACTCTGCAATAGGCTTGACTTGGTATGTGGGTTCCAATGAGCCCGCCTCCGTAAAAATATGCTCGCTGTAGTCAAAATACCTCCCCTTGGAGAGGGCTCTCTCTGTTTCCACAGATCATCCCCTTCACCCCTGTGTTATCTAGGGCTGGGCTTCTGGCTGGTGGAAAAGACCAGACAGCCCCTTCCAGGGTGGTGGCCAGCGGGGCTGCATGCTGTGCTCAGTACTTATTACTGGCAGCTCACAGAACAGGTGGAAAAATAGAAGATAGCCTCTTCATGCTTGATTCACAAGTGGGGTGATGAGAGGTCAGGGTGCTGCTTAGCTTTTGCTATATGACAGGTACCCCACAACTTAGGGCCTGGAGCCAGCACTCACTCACTAGTTTGCAGTTCTGTGTGTGGGCAGATTGGGCTGGGCTTAGCTGGGCCGGCTCATCCTCTTCCACATGCTGGTATGGTCCAGGCTCAGTCACGTGTCTGAACTCATTCACATGCCTGGGATCAAGCACGTGCCGGGACTCGGTCCTGGGTCTGGGCTCAGTCACATGCCCAGGCCATAAGCCAGAGGGACCAGAAGAGATGGAGAAATTGGGATGACCAGGACTCTCCCCACGTGGCCTCTGTCCTCCAGCAGGCCGTACACATGGTGACAGAGGGTTCCAGAAAGAGGCAAGACAGGGCGAGTCCTTCGCGTAAGCACAGTCACGCCTCTCCTCACATGTCTTACGTTTTCGAGTCTCTTGTCTTGGCTGTGTCCCACTGGCCAAGGTCGCAGGCCAACCCCAATTCACGAGTTGGAGAAATGGACTCCTCTCTTTGACAGGGGAGCGCAGATCCTCTGTCCCATTTTCTGAAACCTGCTGTTGTTGAATAACCCGTTTATTATTGCCTCTGAGCCTGCGCAGCCCCTGGCTTTTGGTGCTTTGTTCTAAGAACACAAAATCAATACCTGGGGACACTTTTCCCCCTCTTTGTTCCCATGTTCAGACACAGGGTAAGAAACACACTGGTGTTCAAAGTCAACAGAAATGTACTCACCTCCTGCCAAGGGAAGCCACAGCCTGAACTTCTAGGAAGGTAGAATACCTCACTGACACTCCCTGGCTGCGCCGTCCCCACGGTCTGACGCTCCAGGTGTGAGGGCGGTGAGGCATGACCACAGCATTCACAAGAAGCTAATGGCCGGTTGTGATCTTACTCTCATTCTTGCCCCACCCCATTCCCTACCAACCGAGCCCACCCCCTACCCAGATTGTTTGAATTTGAGCTAACAGGAGAGACCCATTGAAGCCTAGGTGTGTCCTCTTTGGAGTCAGGGTCTTGGAGGGTGTTTGCCACCCAGCAGTCCCAGCTGCTGACACAGGCCTCACCAGGGCTTGTGTGCGACTCACTTTCACCTCTACTAGAGGGTTCTAGCCTTTTTTTTTTTTTTGAGTCAGAGTCTCACTCTGTTGCCCAGGTTGGCGTGCAGTGGCACACTCACGGCCACCACAGCCTCAGATCCTTCTGCCTCAGCCTCCCAAGTAGCTGGAACTACAGGCATGCACCACCACACCTGGCTATTTTTTGATTGATTGTAGAGACGAGATCTCGCCATGCTGCCCAGGCTGGGCACAGGCGTCCTCTCACCTCTGTCTCCCAAAGTGCTGGGATTCCAGGTATGAGCCCCCATGCCTGGCCAGCGCTAGTCTTTACCTTAAAGTCTGTGCCTGCCTACACAATTCGGGAATTGCTGAGTGTGCAGCAAGCAGAGCTCTGGGGGAGTGAGGATGTGTGTATGGGAATCAACTGTGGTCACGGGGAGGAAAAGCTCCCACTCAGAACTTTCTTTTCCTTAAAAAGTTACTCTTTAAGAAACAGCCAGGTCAGGCATTCTTACCAAGTGTGAAATAAAATACAGGCTCATGCTTGTATTCCCAGCACTTTGGGAGGTTGAGGTGGAGGATCACTACGAGGCCAAGAGTTCAGGACCAGCCTGGCCAACCAACATAGCAAGATCCTGTCTCTACCAAAAAAAAAAAAAAGGTTGCTGAGAGTGGTGGGATATGTCTGTCGTCCCAGCTACTCAGGAGGCGGAGGTGGGAGGATTGCTTGAGCCCAAAAGTTTGTGCCTGCAGTGAGCCATGTTCGTGCCATTGCATTCTCGCCTGGGCAACAGAGTGAGACTCCACCTCTAAAAAAAAGCAATAAAATACATAAGAATTGGGATGAGTAAGATCTATAGAGAAGCAGCTGCCATGGAGCAAAGCGCCTGTGTCCCTGGGCAGCTCCCCCGTCCCGGCTGGCAGAACTCAGTGTGCACGGGCGGCGTCTCCTCCAGGGCCTCACCCTGTCCCTTTCCCCTGCAGTACCCGCGGCTGTTTACGGGAATTCTGTCCCCCTGGAAAGGACTACTGCTGTACGGCCCTCCAGGTGAGTGCGTCTTCTGGTGGGCCTCGGCGCAGTGTGTGTGTGGGGGCTAAGCTGCCCCTCTGCCTTCTCAGGACCGGGTACCACACAGCCCTTCCTCTGCAGGTGCAAGGTGACATCCATCTGTCTGTCTGTGGGGACGAGGGGCCGCCCATCCATTACCCACATGCATCTCTCTCCAGGCACAGGGAAGACGCTGCTGGCCAAAGCCGTGGCCACCGAGTGCAAAACTACTTTCTTTAACATCTCGGCGTCCACCATCGTCAGCAAGTGGAGAGGGGATTCGGAGAAGCTCGTCCGGGTAGGAGCCTTGGGTGTGGCTTTCCGATGTGAGTCCTAGCAGAGCGGGTGGTGCTCAGTCACGTCAGCGCACACCTGCTGGCACGTGATGGGTATGGCAGGGTCCATCCTGGCTCTTGGTTATCAGAGGCCTGGGCGGTGTGTAGACCGTTATGTGGGTGTCTTAATCATGCCATCAGCAAGGCATGAGCTCTGCCCTCCGGGAATCTGACCAGCAGCTCTTCTTTGATTCATGCAACTTATAAATGGAAGCTGGAAAAAAAAAGAGGTTTCAGCAGTGGCTTATTCTCCTATTCATCCAAGAAGCACTTATTATTAAGCACATCCGGTATACTCAGCTGACCTGTATCGGGAGGCAACACTGTAAGCCGGTCCTTAGACTAGGTGCCCTAAGGAAGCAGAAGGAAGCTGAAGACATCTCTCTTCCTTCTGATGTTCTGAGTCACTTTTCTTCCATCTACAGCGCCCACAGCCTGTGGGATTCTTTTGCTTTCCTTGCACGGTTATTCCTACCTGACAGTATCTTGCACCTAGCCTGTGGCATATTTCACCTTGTGAAATGTCCCTGTATCTGCAGCCCTGTTCATGATGTTTGCCACCAAGTGAGGAGGGCACTTCTCAGAAACCCTCTGAAACTACCACTCCCAACAGACTGACAGCGTCGTCAATACTAAGTGAATACGAAATACGAGGCATTGTTGAAAGGGAAAAGATGCTTAATGACACTCCCTTCGGTGGTGTTTCCAACGTATAATGGCCTGTTTGGAAGTCATAATGGAGCACTGCCAAGGATGGACTGGCCTCCGAGCAGCCACTGCCTGTGACTTCAAAGTGATCTTCAAGATGTCTCAAATGTGCAAGCTTTGCAAGTTCCTGCTACCCACCCCTAAACTGAGGCTCGGGGACATGGATGTTGACATCTGCCGCCTCCCTGATCCCCACCGTGAGTCTCACTCATGCCGGCTCCGCAGAGGGGCTCAGGTCGGCTGCGCCTGCAGTGTGGCTTCCATGCCGTTCTTGTCAGCTGGATCCCAGCTACACTTGGCCCTGACCGACACTGTGTACACCGTGTGGGTCTGTGCTCGGGCTCCTGGGCTGACGGCAGAGCCGGGTCTGCGGGACTTGGGCAAGGCCTCTGCACGCCTTGGGGACATGGTGGCTGCCAAAATCCCACTCATTGGGATTCTTGCTGCCCAGAAATTTGACCTAGCCGGTTCACTTCGTGTGCCGAATGACAACCGAACTCCTCTCCTGTCATGGAAAGTGGCTTTTGGAACCATGAGCCGAGAAACCGAGATGCTCGAAGACAGACTGCATCACCCACTGGACAGAGCTTACCTCGGCGGAAGAGGAAGTCTCGAGCTCCTTTGCGGGGCTGGTGCTGAATGAGGCTCACGGTGGAGATCAGGGAGGCAGAAGATGTCAACATCCATGTCCACGAGCCTCATGTGAGGGAGTGAGTAACCGGAACTTGCAAAGCTTGCACATTTGACACTCCTTGAAGATCACTTCAAAGTCATGGGCAGTGGCTGCTTTGAGGCCAGCCAGTCCTTGGCAGTGCTCCCTTACGACTTCCAAACAGACCATGATCGGTTGGAAGTAAGTCATCCGAGGGCATGAATATTCTTAACAAAGACCGAAGCAGCAACAATTTTCTTGTTTGGTACTGAGTAGCCTGGCAAATTTTTGATTGATCGTAGAGAGGAGGTCTCGCCAAGTTGCCCGGGTGGGTCTTGAACCTGCGGGCTCAGGCAGTCCACTCACCTCGGCCTCCCAAAGTGCTGGGATGATAGGCTGAGCCACTGGGCCCAGTCATTGCACACTCTTATAGATAGACAGAACATCTTTTTCATGTCTCCGTGTAGTTTGTTGTGTGGATGCACCACAGCGTAGGTCACTGGTCTTTACTTGATGGGCGTTTGGATCGCTTCCAGCCTCCTGCTGTTGTGAGCAGAACTGGACTGTCTTCTCTGCACATATACCTTTGCACAGGTCATAGTGCAGGCGATTCCTGTGACGTGGGTTTGCTGGGCCAGAGGCAGTGGATGCCGCTTGTGGCTAAGTTGCTGCCGACGGGTTGTGCCAGCCCACAGTCCCACGTGTGGCTCGTGAGTGTGTTTCCTTCTCCACACCCTGCCCAACACTGCGTAGCACCAAAGAAACATTAAAAAAAGTCTTTGCCATTCTGCTAGGCTATTTCAGTGACTAAGTGAGCCTTTCAATATTTCAGGGTTTGAATGTGTACTTTTTTGATCCTGAGTGAGCATGAGCATTCTTTTCATGGGTTTAGAAAATATTTATGTTTCTCTTTTCTGTGAAAGGCACTTTTAGTTTGGATATCAAAGAAGTTCGAGCAGAAACAGAACAGATGACCTCTGCTAACCTTGAAGGACCCCATCTCACATCCTTGCGAAATCGCTTTTTTCTTCTTTTCTGAGCTCTTGGGAAGATCCTCACCTGGAACACCATGGATCCACTGTGAGGCCCCTTACCTAGAAGTTTTGGGAGGCTAGACACACCCCCTCCCCAGCCCTTCCCTCCAACTGTAGAGCTTGTCTGCCACTTACTTCTCTTTCTACGCCCATCAAAGAGTTGTTTGTAGGAACCCTTGGGGTGTTCCTCCCTCTCTCCTGGTGCTGGTGCTTCTTGGAGCTGACAGCTCCTGAGCCAAGAGGTGTCTCCTGGCAAATGCACACACCTGTGGATGCTGGCATCTTTCCATGCCCCCCACAGCTGAGGACTTGACTTCAGCCAGGTTCCTCTGAAAACTCCAGACCGGCACTTCTAGAAACACCCAGCGTTCTCTGCATTTTCTGGGAGCAGAAAGAGTGATGGAGGGACAGCCGCAAGGCCTGGCCTCCAATGTGGGTCTCCTTCCAGCCGGATGCTGGTCCTAGAGAGGTCTTGGCTCTCTGTCCTTGGCGAGCTTCTTAAAAGAGGGTATGGGTCTAGTATAGGTCTTACCTTTCACTTCTCATTGGGTAGACTGCCAATTGGCATGGACATTAAGGGCACTGGAATCACCCTCAGCGTCAGGTATCAGGTGTATTGGGAGTGTGTATGTGTGTGTGTGAGAGAGAGAGAGATGAGGAAGGAAAGTTATTTGCTATTTGCTCCTAATTAGGTGGTCTCGATTTATTGTTATAATTCAGAGCCTTGTTCTGTCACCCCAGCTGGAGTGCAGTGGTGCAATCCTAGCTCACTGCAGCCTCAAAACCGTGGGCTCAAGAGACCCTCCCACCTGGCCTCACGAGTGAGTAGCTCAGGTTACAGGCGTGAGCCATGACACCTGGCTCATTTCTTAATTTTTGGTACGGATGGGATTTGTATGCCACCCAGGCTGGCTCAAACTCCTGGCCTCAAGTAATCCTCCCACCCTGACCCCCCGAAGCTCTGGGGTCACAGGCATGAGCCCCCGTCTGGCCTCTACGTCTCCAAAAGACATTGTGATGAGTGTCCAGCCTTGCCATCATTCTCTGGACTCATGGGGGGCCATCAGGGATTGCGTGCTGTGGCGTGGAGACGCGGCTGACGTGGAGCCCCCTTGACTCACTCTGCGTGCTTTGCTCCAAGCTCCATGGAGAATAAAGGCCCACACCTGTGGAGGAGCCTCTATTCCTTGCTGAATCTCCCCTGTTTCTCTGATCACCCAGTGAAGGGTTGTCTGTGATGCTCAACAGAACAGTTTCGGGGCAAAAAAAAAAAGGTTTATGGTGGTATATTCTTTTCATCATCACCACGTCTCCCTTTAGAGCTCTTTATTTTGTTTTTATGTGTCTGTTCTCTTGCTGGCTGCCTTCGTGTTCTTGTTCAGCCTATAATATTTTATTTTATTTTGGAAAGGAACATCATACTCAATCAGGAATTGCTGTCTAGTACCTGAGCCCACCGCACCGCGGAGGTGGTCTGGGACCCCGTGGAGTTATCTGGGAAGCAGAAAGGAGGAACATTCTCCAGCCTTCTTACCCACGATGGGAACCCTATCTTCTCCCTGCACTCTCTTCTTCTGGGAATAACCTCCCGTGGTCCCCAAAGGTCAAGGGAAGCATGATCAAGGGATTTTACATAGCCCAGGATGCTCATGTCCCCAGGGACTGCGCTGTTGGCAGGGTGTCTCAGGGGCACCGAGTTTTCTCTTACGCTCTCCCATGTGCGCCTGGGAGCCTCGAACTGACCCCTGCTCTCACTGGCTGTGATTTTGTCAAGTGATGAGTGGAAATAGTTGGCCCATCCCACCGCACAGGGCAGGAAGTGACAGTACTGACTGCAAGTGACTGCGGAGGCACAGAGCGCGGTACCAGTGCTCACAGGACAGTCGTTCTGGGCTTTCCCTCTCTGCGAGTGGCGGAGGACTTGGCAGCGACCTCCGTGACCTCACATGACCATGCTTGCTTCTCCCTCACAGGTGTTATTTGAACTTGCCCGCTACCACGCCCCCTCCACCATCTTCCTGGACGAGCTGGAGTCGGTGATGAGCCAGCGAGGCACAGCTCCCGGGTGAGACGGGTCTTGGGTCACCGTTCCCCTCTCTTGCAAGTGTGCTTGGTGGCTGGAAGCCCGTCAGCACGTACCAGCAGAGGGAGCCTATTAGCAAGCCCACCTTTTCTGCAGACACACGGAAAGGTCTTTACAATAGACCCTGTGAACTGGACAGCTAGTTTAAGTGGTCTTTATCACCGGAGGAAATGCCGTCCCCTCCTCGCTAACCGCAGAGTGGTTTTCAGGCCTGAGGATCATCCAGCCCCAGGCTCTTGGGCTGCCACCATGGCCCTAGTGGCTCCAAGTAGCCGCATGGCCACCTCCAGGGGCTGCCGTGGGGACCGGGCTCACCCCCCCAGCTGCTGCACAGGGCCGGGTGCCAGCCTCCTTCCCGAGAGGCATGTGAGACCAGGAAAGCCGCCACTTCTCTGGGACCCCAGCTAGGCTCGGCATGCCTGACGCGAAACGCATCACACGTGTTGTCTCGAAAGATGAGGTATCGGCTGAGGTCTCCAGCCGGAAGGAGCCCTTCTCAGACTGAACGAAGCCTGGTGGGTGCTTCCAAGAGGTTGCGTGGCACTGTGTTTTCTGTGTTTTTAAGACCAGCTTTCTATCTTGATCAGAGGTGTTTTTCTCTGAAGCTTTTTACCAAATTTGGCACCCCTGGCTTGAAAACACAGATCTCTGGGAAATCTCAACACAGCTGCATTTATTAATGATCTCTAATGGTCTATCATCAAGTAATGAAAAACAAATAATTAGCTTGTGGGAAGTATAACTAGAAGGTAATTTATGAAATTTTGCTCGTCAGAAACCATTTTCCCAGCAAAGAAAGACAGCCATGAAGAGGTACCCAAGTAATACGGGATCTGTGCAGTTGGTTGAAGCGGGACATTTTCCACGGCTTAGTCAGGGCCAGTTAGCCCGGGGCGTCCCACTGGGAACCCTCCAGGCCACCCTGGGAGTCATCCCCTCTGCATAGACCCGCCTGGCCTGCCTTTCGGTGGTGACCATGCACTCCGCTGGCCATTCGCTGTTTCGGCTGCGCCCACGCATCCCAAGCCTCAGCGGAGCTAGTCGGAAAACTCTTGGTCTTCTCTTCCAGCGTCTGCTCTGGGTTTTGTCCCAGGTTTCCTCATCTGGCACTTGAAGACTGTAAAACCAGAGTCTTCAAAGGACAGGGAATAAGGGTGGGTGCTCCGAAGACTTCTTGGAGCTGATTATGTTAAAAGAGCCATGGTTGTGCGCAAATGCTCGTGAAATATAAAGCTCCATTGTGAGAGGGTCTCCTCTCCCAGGAAAAGACAGCTGAGCAGTGGGGGCATAGACTCTAGCAATCCAAGGATCTCGTGTGGATTGCCACCACACATGAGCACAGGCGAGAGGCTGAGTGCCGGGCCACCCAAGAGAGGCACGCATGTCCTTCTCCTGAGGCCTGTGCAGGTAAAGGGGCAGGAGAGGTTCCTGGAGCCCAGTCAGGACGGTCCGGGTCCTCGGGGAGTGCTCTTGCTTGGTGCAGGGTCTTTGGCAACGTGGGAGGGCTTGAGGACAAGCGGGCACAGAAAACCACCTCCGATCTGTCGTGTGTGGTCCAGTCCCACATTGTCTTGCTTCTTTAAGAAGGTACGACATCTCGGCGCAGTAGTTCTTCTCTTGACCATCTGGATCTACAGACTGTATGTAAGAGAAGCGTGGTGTGAAAGCACTTTTACGGGTGCGGCATCAATGAAAGGGCTGATGCTCATCGCACCCTGTGCAGGGGTCAACAGTGGCGCCGTGGGCGGAGCCGGCTGCGTCCCCCCCAGCCCTGTGGGATGACTGGCTAGCGTCAGCCATTCTCGTGTGCATTCACTTCCTCCCTTTGCCGTCTGTGCAAATGAGACCCATTGCTTGCTGTCACTCCCTGTGGCAGGCCCAGCTGCGTTGGCTGTCAGAGCGGAAGCGAGTCCATGGCCACCGGCCTTGCCGTGAACGCCGCTTGTCACAAGGGCGCGCCATCACTCGGGAGTCACGTCTCCTGTCTCTCTCTAGCGGGGAGCACGAAGGCAGCCTCCGGATGAAGACCGAGCTGCTGGTGCAGATGGATGGGCTGGCGCGCTCGGAGGACCTGGTGTTTGTCCTGGCCGCGTCTAACCTACCGTGGTAAGATCCCTGGGGTCATCTGCGTGTCAGGAGCCCCCAAGTCCACTTGACACTCGATGCGGAGCCCTGCAGGCCAAGCCTTGTCTGGCTCCAGCCTGGAGGACTGACGTGAAGGGTTTCCCGTCTGGCCCCGAGTCCTCACTCTCTGCGCCACGAAAGGCCAGCCTCCACCGGGGCACGACGACCAGGGCTACCACTGGCGATTCTAGTGTGGATGTCTTGAGTTTAAAGCCAGATCATATGGTAGGGTTAAAGTAGGCAGGACTTGGGCATAGAACTGTAAAATGCCCCAGATCTCCAGGACTCAAGGAATACTCCTGAAATAGTACGTTTGAGTTTTGTCAATATTAAAATTTTTTATTTTGGCTAGGAAAATCTTCTCTTTAGTGTTTCACAATAAACAGGAAGCTAAATAATCTCCAATTGAAAATATCATCTATTCTCAGAGTCTTTTATTCACACTGTATCCCGGAGTGGTTTGAGAACAATTCTAGAAGTGGCATTGGGAAATAAGAGATGTTGGCTGGGGAAAAGCAGCATCTACCTGGGAAGCATATTTAAAAAATAATTATAATCCCTTCATAGTTCTCAGACTATTTTCGCATACGGTATTTCTTCTAAGCTGCAGGCGAGGCAGGAGACTCAGAGGAAAGGCAGCTCTTCTTGCACTCAGAGGGCAAGGTCGGGTCAGGGTCAAGAGCTCTTATAACCCCCCTGGGACCTGGGACCCTCTGTCCCCAATGCCCCACATCCCTTTCCTCTTCCACATGCAAATAAGAAAAGAGAGACTGTCTTGTAGTACGTGCAGATCATCTGGGATTCCACGCCAGATGCCACTGAAAGAAATCATAGCGTGTTCGTGTGGAACTTGTTATTTTGAATATATTTGTGATTTAGACTGCTTTACTGCCCCTGGAATCTGTCAGACTTTCTCAGCTGCGCTCGGATGGTCAGCATGTTACAATCTTAAGAGTGGGTGTCTCTCTGCCCTGTTGATACATGGAGTCCAAACGGAGGGCTGTGAGTGTGGAGTCTTTTGGGGGAAGGAATCTTCTTTCCTTCATCCGTTTGAAACAAGGTGGCAGTCCAACTGTAACATTGCTTCTCACATGTACACTTCAGCAGACATCTAGAAAACAGGATACTTCCTGCCTTACCACGATGTCATGGACCCTTCCCAGGTTAGACAGCAACTCCTCACTGTGCGTGTTCAGATTTTCCATACCATTCCCAAACCATCTTTTTACCTCGGTTTCCTGAGCTGGGACCCGCGCAGGCAGGGCCTGCGCTCTGCAGCTGGCTGCTCTCCTTGGTCTCTCTGGACCCAGAGCACACTGCCCCTTTTTTCTTTCCCCACTTGCCATTGGCCTATGGTTGCCCAGAGAGTGTCCTGCACAAAGTCCCGGCTTTCTGGGTGGGGCTCATGCGTCCTTGTGATGGTGTTGCTTCTTTCATTGTTCTAGACGAAACATTAGCCTGATGATGTCTAGGGTCAATGGAATGCTTCGGCAACTTGCTTCACGGGCGGTGCCGCGTGACATCAGTGGCGTGGAGTGTCTCAATGTTCCTGTGGGTGGCTTCAAGACAGACTCGTCGGGCTGGCATCCTCCTGGCTCCCCCGGGGTCAGTTCACATCATGGCTTGGATGACCTTGGCCTGAACTGGTGCCTCTACTGGAACTGCGAGGTTATCTTTTCTCCCAACTGACAGTTGAGTTATTCTCTGTAGCTGAACTTTCCCTCATCCAGGAGGGCTGCTGGGTTGTCCTGAACTGTAGTTCGTGCTGGAAAAACAGGACTCTTCCTCTTTGACCTTCAGAGGCAAGGCCCACAGGGTGGTCCTCGGCCTCTCTGTTCTGGAGAGCCAGGACTGTGTGGTGCCATGTCATGAGCTCTGAGTTTTCCTTAGGCTTTGAGACATGCCTCACCCAACCACACAGTTTACTCACCTAAAGGATGCAATTCTGCCATTTCCAATGTATTTATGGAGTTGTGCAACTGTCCACCACCACTACTTTTAGAACATTTTTCTTTGCCCCCAAAGGAAGCCCTGCATGCATCAGCAATCCCGTGTTACTCCTCCGCCCACCCCAGTGCCGGGCAACCACCGATCTATTTTGTGTCCTTATGGGTTCACCTGTTCTTATACCAATGAGTTGCACTATCGGGTCATGTGGTAACTCAGTGTTGGACTGTCTGCGGAACAGCAAACCGTTTTCCCAAGAGGACGCACCATTCCACGTCCCCACCAGCCAAAGGCAAGGGCTCCTGTTTCTCCGCAGCCTCATCGTCGGAGGGATGAGGAGCAGCATTTGCCTTTCTCTGAGACTGATGGTGCAGGGCATCTTTTCATGGACCGACTGAGCAGTTGCACATCTTCTTTGGAGAAATGCCTTTTCAAATCCTTTATCCATTTAAAAGGGTATCTTTTAATTCTTTTGAAAGCGGGTTTTTTTTGAAGAAAACAGAAAAGCTCCTGCAGTGGGAGGGGACCCAAAAGAGGGTTGCTGCGTATCTTTTAATTGTTGGGATATATATTCTAGATACAAGTCCTCTCTCAGATTTGTGACTTCTCCCATTCTGTGGTCAGTGGTCTCTCCCTCCCTCCTTTTCTCTTCCCTCCCTTCCTCCCCCTTCCCTCTCTGCATGCCTCTCTTCCTTTCTTTCTGGACCGTTTTGCTTCCCTCTCTGCTTTCGCCCTGCTGGGCTTCCCACGTGGGCCCCGTCTCCCCAGACCTGCGCCTTCTGGGATGCCCCTGCACCTGGCTGTTCTGTAGCTGCCAAAAGAAACATCATGTGAGGTCTGCGTTTAAGTTTTCTAGCAGCTGCATTTTAAGAAGTAAAAAGAAAGACGTGAAGTTAATTTTAGTAACATATTTTGGTAACTAAATCTTTTCAAAAGTTATTTTTCTCTGTCTTCGATGGAAAGTCGCTGTGACGTTGCACTTTCCTTTTTCACGCTCAGTGTTTCAGATCTAGCATGTGTGTGACGCCGGCAGCATGGCTCAGCATTTCAAGTGCCCGGTGGCCACGTGGGGTGGTGGCGGCCACGCTGGAGGACGCGGATCAGAGCCTCGCTCATCCGCTGTCCTGCTGCTGGGGCGGAAATTGACTAGCTGCCTCCCGAGACTCACGCTTCCACCTTGGCGGCAGAACCCCAGCCAGGGTCTCTGTTTCTTAGGCCTTGTGGTGGGCCAGGCCTCCTTGTCATCTGCACAAGGGGACCCAGGGTCCAGCTGTCCATTCGGCCCTGGAGCTGGCCACTTCTCCATGAGGTCCTGGCTCCCCTGAGTGTGAGGTGGTGTTTAGAGGCTGCAGCCTCACATTGGGTGCTCTTTGCACCAGGCCAGCATTGCTTTTTGGCCTTTCGATGGGACGGAGCTGGGACAGACAGTTTTCAGAAGAGGCACGTAACGAGTCCATTCGAGTACTTCCCTTCAAGTGCAAGGGGATGGGGTTTCCATTTATTTGCACCTTTTCCGTCATTGTGAAAGATCTCAGTTCTTGACACCTTAATAAGATGAACACTCTGTCTCAACATGTACAGATACCTTCTGTCTATGCACAGAACAGAGATTCTCAGGAATGACACCAGTGCCATCAGGCAACAACCTCGGAGGGGAAGCCAGGCCCGGCCCGGCCTCACTGGGACCAGAGTGCTGATGCAGGGTTGCTCGAGCTCGGGTCTGCTGGCTGCTTGGGCCAGGCCGCGGTTGTGAAGCCAGGGCCCTGTGGTTGCAGGCTGTACACAGCATCTCTGACCTCTCCCCACTGGCTGCCAGTGGCACCCCGTAGTTGTAGCAGCCAAGAGGCGTCTCTGGACATTGCCAAGCGCCCCTGGGGGCAGAATTGCCCCCGGGTGAGGCGCATTCGCGTACCCGAGGACCCGACAGGTGTCACACAGAGAGAAGCAGGCACTGGCTCTGCAGCTGAGCTCCAGAGGCTCAGAGAAGCCCAAGACAGCGGACTGGGCTTTCTTACACAGAGGGTGTCCTGCCGCACCAAGCTTTTGTGTCTTGATGTCTTTATCCTAACTAAATATCCTGAAGGTCTTTCCAAGTACACAGAGTTCTCACTCCTGCTACAGCCGCGCATGGCTCTGTTTTGTGGATCTGACAACTCACCCTACCAGCCCCTTCGTGGCAGGCACTTGGGCTGATCCCACCCTTTGGCTGTGAAGAATCATGCTTCAGTGAGTACGGCACACCTGTGACACTGTGCATGTGTCCTTAGGGTAGGTTCCTGGAAGTAGATCTGCGGGGTCACAGGGCTGATGTGCGTGCGGCGATGGTGGAGACCACCAGACATCCCTCCGTGGGGGCTGTGCCATGCAACATTCCCACGATGTCTGCCTTCCTTACTTAATGTTGTAATAAGAACATTTCCAACGTCATTAGATAATGCTTGAAAACTGGATCTTGCAATGGCGCCCAGAATTCCCTCACGTGAATAAACTGTCATGTAGTTGATCGTTCCCTGCCTGGTGAGCCTACAGGAAGATACCAAGCCTTCTCTTCTATAAGTAACACTGGAATGTGCTTCCTGGCTTGAAGATCTTTGACTCAAGTTCCGATTACTTCCTTAGGACAGACTCCTGGAAGTCAAATCACTGTATCAAAGGGTTTAGGCATCCCTTGAGTCTCTCGAGTCCGTGAGGACATAGTGTATTTTCAGCAAGAATCTTGGGACGGATCTTCTCCTTGGCTTCAGGGTCAAGATGAGGGAACAGGCTGGGTGCGGTGGCTCAAGCCTGTCATCCCAGCACTTTGGGAGGCTGAGGTGAGGGGATTGCCTGAGCCCACAGGTTCGAGAACAGCCTGGGCAACTTGGCGAGACCTCATCTCCACAAGAAATCAAAAAATTAGCTGGGCGTGGTAGCACATGCCTGTAGTTCCGGTTACTTGGAAGGCTGAGGCAGAAAGATCGCTGGAGCCCGGCAGGTCAACGCTGGGGTGGCCTTGAGTGTGCCGCTGCACGCCAGCACGGGTGACAGAGTGAGAC